AGCCAAGTGCACACACAGCAACCACCATCACACACAGGGGTTCCTTCTCTCCTTTCAGGCATTCTAGATTAATTAAAGGCAGACATGCTGAGCTGTTGACAAGTGAACATGTTCATCCCATCCAGCCCTTCACAGGTGTTGGATAATCACAGCAAGGTGTTAATCTATGCTCTGCTTATTCAAAGGTAACTCCAAATATAACACACTGCAGCCACGAGATGTTTCCCAAAGGCAATTCCCATGGACCATATTCACAAATTGTTCTGCTGAGCAAAAACCAGATTCCAAGAGAATTGGGACGCAGAAGATAGCTAGAAGATAAATAATACAGATCATTCAGTAAGGCAACATTGTGTCCCTTGTTTCAACTCATTCTTGTTTACATCTTGTCCCAAATGGTATGTTCCATCCTACCACACACCAGTATCTTCACAATAGTATTAACAGGTATGCTAGGCAGAGAGATGTCAATGGGCTCAATGTTATGAGAACCTTTCATGGATCTTGTTCTTGTTCTTTAGAATTATGGGGACATTTGTCCCATATGCAGGAGGCAACACATGGGAAGTTAACATGAAGAGGGGTAGAAACACCAGTGTGAAGAAAGAAGACTTTGGATGACTCCTTGCCTTGCAGTTCCATACTTATAGCAATGCATTGGTAGTATCTGCAAGCATGATACAAAACGGAGGCAACAGTAATTAGAAATGTTATCATACTATAGATCCTTGCATCCCGCACTCACTAGCTATTGCAGTCTGGTAACATTTGGAAAGTCAGGCACCCCCTACACCTGGTATTGAGAAGCTGGTCAATGTTGTTGTGTGTCTTTGTATAGTTTTCAAGCTATGACAAACCAAAGATGGCATGATCACAGGGTTTTCTTGTCAAGATTACTTCAGAGGAGATCTAACATTGCCTTCCTCTGGGGGAGTGTAACTTTCCTAGGGTCACCCAATAGTTTCCATGGCCAAGTAAGGGACTGCAATTGAAGGGAGATGTTGACAAGATGGAATGTACAGAGGCGGGTGACGAAAATGATCAAGGGTCTGGAAAACAAGCCTTATGAGGTGCAGTTTAAAGCACTGGGCATGTTTAGCCTGAAGAAGAAAAGGCTGAGAGGAGACATGATGAGGGGAAGTCATAGGGAGGAGAGAACAGGCTTGTTTTCTGCTGCCCTGGAGATTACAATGCGGAACAATGGCTTCAAACTACAGGAAAGGAGATTCCACCCGAACATGAAGAAGAACTTCCTAACTGAAAGGAGAGCTATTCAGCAGTGGAACTCTCTACCCCTGAGTGTGGTGGAGACTCCTTCTTTGGAGTCTTTTAAGCAGAGGCTGGATGGTCATTTGTCAGGGGTGCTTTGAATGTGATTTTCCTGCTTCTTGGCAGGGGGTTGGACTGGATGGCCCACAAGACCTCTTCCAACTCTAGGATTCTAGGGATTCAGACCATGATCTCCAGAATCATAATCCAATGCTCAAACCACTACATAATGCTGACCCCATGTTACTTGTGGGATCGATTATTACCTGTGTTTTTTTCCTTCTTTTTTCTGATATAGATATGTTTATAGAGGAACTCTAAGTGTTTCTCCGCCTAAAAACAATGAAGACAAAAGCTATTTTTTCCTTTGATTCAAAGCTTTCTGCATTTATCAATAGAAATCTCTTGAATTTCAGTGTGCTGGTGATGCATAGCTATTGCAAACCCCGTAGACTGGGTTAATAAATTGAAGTGAAAAATGGTTCTTTCACCTCCACAGAGAAGAAAATGGTATTTCAGAATGCCAGCCCACTTCCAAGGGGCACAGAGCAAATGAGATCTCTTCCCCTTCAGGTGTGATGGAATAAGACTGAAGGTTTGTGGGAAGACACCTGAGAGCCTTTATTAGCCGCAGCCCAATCATCTATTCCAGAAGCCTGACTTTGACAAATTGCACACTTGCACTTCAAAAAAATTAAAGGAGAGGGTAATAATCCTTCAGCTGTGGCTGGATGTCACCTCCCAATAGTCTCACTCAGCACAGCCAATGGTAAAACAAAACAAAAAAAAAAGATTATGGAAACAGCCAACGGTTTCTCCACACAGCTGAAATGAATAAATGCCAGTTTTGTGACAGAAAACGATTGTTTAGGGCCACCTATTTCCTTAGTGACAGGTGACTCATTGAAAGCTCACTCCCAAAGTACTAAAAATCTACAAGTTCTATGGGTCCCCTGCTGATCTGCAGTTATCAATGGCAACAAAAGCAATAGTAATAATAAATCATCATAATTATTAGAGCATATGCACTGCAAACATACTTCTATAGTAAAGATAAAGGTATCCCCTGACATCTAGTAGTGTCTGGAGAGGTGGTGCTCATCTCTATTTCTAAGCTGAAGAACCGGCGTTGTCCGTAGACACCTCCAAAGTCATGTGGCTAGCTCACCCCACTCCCCGGATTTGAACCACCAACCTTTCGGTCAGCAAGTTCTGTAGCTCAGCAGTTTAACACACTGCACCACCAGCTATACCTTAAAACAAATTTTGTTAGATAGGGGTGTATTGCCATCCCCGGAACTGAGAATCAAAGGGGGTTGGTTTGGAGAAGGCCACCAATTCATAGCTCAGTCTCTTAACCACTAAACCACACCAGGACAGGCAGCAATGTTATTGAAGGGAATTCGGCATGAGCAAGACATCAACAGTCAGCTAACCAGGAAGAGTTCATTGGCAGAATACACACTGTATGCAGAATGCCCCAAGTTTGGGTCTTCTTTGACCTCCACCCTCAAAAAAAGGAGGCAATGTGTAGGACTTTGGCTTGAGAACCATCACAAGGCTGAGCAAGGAATACCAGAAAGGATCTCTAAGGCAGTTTCCAGGGATTAATTCCATGCACTATTCACTTAGAGATTGTTGCTGCCACTGCTGAGCAGTGTTACCTCCCACACTTTGTATTACTCATGCCATCCCACAAAGAAAAAAGAGCCAAAGAGGACTGCATGGAGATGCATCAGTAAGTTTCTAGACCCCATGGATGGAAACCACAAGAGGGGAAACTTTAAAATGTATGTCAGCTTGATAAAGTGCTGACCCCGAGTGTGGATAGCTTCTTCACCCACTAACCCCACAGATGGATCTACAAGCACTGCAGGGAACCGGATGTGTGCTGGTGGGTGGAGGGAGGGAAAGAAGGAGGTGGCGTCCTCCCGCCATAGAGCTAGAGACTCTATTAATTGCTGCGGCAAAAAACATTCCAGCAGTTCCCAATGACAGCAGCACCCAATAAATCCCAACACCAATAAACTTGTCCAGCGGTGCACACAAACTCTTCTTCAAACCCTTAAAAGGGGAAAAGCAGGTTGCAGGAAGATGAGGTGAAAGGGGGGACCGAGGCAACTGCTAGTAAACTCTGGGTCCTGACCCCTTAGCTCAATGTTGGGGTCACAACAAATTTGACAATGGTAAAAGGTTTTGGAGTGCCAGACATTTACACAAATCTGTTAGCAACAACATGTAGTGCTTATAGTGGACACTGTTAAAAATTTTCAAGTCAAAAGAGAAAATCAGCCTGTTCAGCAAGCCTTGCAAATGCTGGTTTATGATTAGTAAATATTTGATTTCTATACCGATTTTATATCAAAAGTAAAGGTTTCCCCTGGCATTAAGTCCAGTTGTGTCTGGGGAGCGGTGCTCATCTCTATTTCTAAGTCGAAGAGCCAGCATTGCCCATAGATGCCTCCAAGGTCATGTGGCCGGCATGACTGCATGAAGTGCTGCGGAAACGGTACCTTTTGATCTACTCACACTTGCATGTTTTTGAACTGTTAGGTTGGCAGAAACTGGAGCTAACAGCAGGAGCTCAGGCCGCTCCCCAGATTCAAACCACTGACCTTTCAGTCAGCAATTTCAGCAGCTCAGCGGTTTAGCCCACTGCACCACTGGGGTGCAGTGGGCTATTCTGCATTTATCAATAGAAATATCTTGAATTTCAGTGTGCTGGTGATGAATTGCTATTGCATACCCTGTGGACTGGCTTAATAAATTGAAGTGAAAAATTATTCTTTCACCTCCGCAGAGAAGAAAATGATATTGCAGAACACCAGCCCACTTGCTGACTGAAATGGGGCTCCATTTCAGTCAGCAAGCTGCTGAACTTGCTGACTGAAAGGTCAGCAGTTCAAATCCAGGGAGCGAGGAGAGTTCCCACTGTTGGCCCCAGCTTTTGCCAACCTAGCAGTTTGAAAAGATGCAAATGTGAGTAGATCAATAGGTACTACTTCATGCAGTCATGCCGGCCACATGACTTTGGAGGTGTCTATGGACAACGCTGGCTCTTTGGCGTAGAAATGGAGATGATCACCAACTCCCAAAGTTGGACTCAACTAGACTTGATTTCGAGAGGAAACCTTTACCTTTACCTAAAAGGTACCGGAGAGCCAACAAATGTGTTAGCAACATTTTGGAGTGCTTATTAGTGGATCCTGCAGAAAATGCTTCAAATCAAAAGAGAAAATCAGCCTGTTTAGCAATGATGGTTTAGGATCAGTAGATATTTGTTTTTTATACCAATTATTTGTGTGTGTGTGTGTGTGTGTGCGTATAGGCTTAAGATCAGTAAATGTTTGATTTTTATACAAATTTTATATACCGAGAGATAGATAGATAGATAAATGTCTCAAGTGGAAAGTGCCTAAAGTTTAAGAAGCCCTAAGCGAAATGGGCAGACATAACCTTTGCCAGAGACAAGACATACACAGGAAGGAAAGGGGTTGAGGAAAGTGCTTGCTCCCCATTGAGTCAAACACATTGAGGCTTCCCTCCTTTCATGCCTTGACAGTGCTGCATTCCAACACTCTCCCTCTTTCTCCCTTTCCCCCCAAATCGCCACTAACTGCAATGAGAGAGACAAGAGATGTGCTGGAAAGGAGGGGGGGTCAGAAAGAGCTCAGAGAAGCCAGGAAAGGCCCCCAAAGGCAGGCAAGCTGGTGAAGGGAGAGGCTACTCACAGCGCCCGCAGCTTGACCCACATCTTCTTACTGGGCGCCGACTTGAGCTCCAGGGGCGAAGGGCAGTCCCCGGGCGACTCCAGCAGGTCCAGGCTGGGGGCTTCCATGGCTGGAGAAAGGGGAAAGAGAGGAATCCGGATCAGAAGAGGAAGAAGCGCCCACTGACTCTCTCTCTCTTTCTCTCTCTCTCTTCCCTCTCCTTGCTTCTGTTTCCACACGTCCTCCTTCCCACGAACACGCCAACTCCCTCCCTTTCTCCCTCCCGACCGGCAACAAAGACAAAAGCCCCTTCCCCGCCTTACCGCCCGCTTTGAGCAGCCCAGAGAGGCTGGGGCGAATCGAGGCGCGCTCCCCCATCACGGCCTCCCTTCAAATTGGGCCGGGTTGGGAGAAGGGAAGCTCTTCTTCTTCTTCTCCTCCTCCCGTTCCCCTCCTTGCCCCTCTCTCCGCCAGGCTCCCTTCGCCTCCCGCTACGACGCAACTGCGTGGCTCTGTCAGGGAGAAAGCCCCCTTGCCTCGCTTCTTCTCGTCATGGAAGGGGAAGAGGCACGAGCTCTGCGCCTTGCCTCCAAGCCGCTGCAGGTGATTTCTGGGCTCGCCAAGGCGCGCGAGGCAGCCCTCCCCAACCCCAAACAAAGCGCGCGCGGCCCAGCCTCCTCCCGATGATGAAGATGATTACCCGGATCTGCGCGCCCTTTCTGGCGGTGAGGGAGCCCGCTCAGCTGCAGCGGTGGTGGCGGCGGCGGCGTCCTGGCTCCCAACTCGGCCTCGGATGTTGCCGTCGCGCCTCCGCCTCCTCCTTCTCCTCCTGCAACAGCGGGGTTGGAAGATTTGGGGGCCTCCTCCGAGCGCATCCGGATGCCCGAGCAAGAGGCGCGCAACTTTCACCAAGTGGCCAACGCTGTGGCGGCGAAGAAGGAAGGGGGAATGGTCACTTGTCGGAGCGGAGGCGAGCGGCGCAGCGCGACGCTTCCAAGGCGCGAGGAGGGGGAAGAAGCAGGCAGGCAGGCGGGGATGCTGGTGCTGATGCTCCTGTGCTCAGTCCCTCGGCTTCTCTCTTCAGCGTTGACAGAAAAGAGAGCTCTCTCCTTCAAGCGCGCGCGCACGACGCTCGCTCTGCCCTGCTGCTGGGCACGTGCCGACACCCTGGAAGGAGACTCCGTGGTCTTTTCCGGCCTGCGGGGCGCCAAAACCCGCCACTCTGTCTATATTTATTTACTAGCTTGGGGCCCCGGTAGGGCCTGGGTTAGGGTTAGGGTTAGTTGAAAAAAGCACTGTTTGTTTTTTGAAGTTTGGTAATATCGGTTTGGTAATGTCTAATTAGAAAAAAGCCATTCTTTCCTTTTTTTTATGAATGCTCCCGATAGAAAATGCATAATAATATGGGTGAACTACAATTCCCATAATCGTGAGTCAGTCCTTCCCAAACCCTGCCATTATTCAAAGTTGGCCATGTTGGGTCTGTGTGCCAAGTGTGGTCGAGATCAGCTGGGTTTAGATAAATGTTCAGGTACAGCTGTACCAGGAGCTCCAATTTTGTTTGCTTTGCATTGGATGTTTGTTTGTAGTTCTAAGTTTCAGGGACTCTGCAGATAGGTGGCTTCTTTTGGCTGCAATCATAGGGCAAGCCACCTGTCAATTATAGTTAGGTTCCCTGGTCCCGCCCCCTTTTTGGGTTTTTGGAGGGAATAGGAGCTTTTGGGTTCAGTCCACACAGAGAAGCCTTTCATGCAGGACATAATACCAAGAGCTCCTGTAGAAAGCTTCGTCTTCTACAGCTTGGCCAGGGAGATATACAGCCTACAGCTTGGCCGGGGAGAAAGGTCCTGTAGCTTGGCCGAGGATTATACAGCCTTACAGCTCCTTTGCTGAGAGACTTCAGCCAACCATCACTGAAACCTGAACTCCTTTTCCCTTGGAAGTCTACAAAGCTCTGCTTGGTAAGGGTCACTCATGGAAGCCAGACACAGTTGGTACCGGGTGTAGGGGCTCCACGCCAACAGAGGCAAAGACAGACTGCCCAGATTAGAAGTTAAGGATTTCCCCATTAGTTACAGTTAAGAAGATAGTGCCTGTTCCCTGTGGACAAGATTGAAAGAGCCAATAGACTGTTAAGAAAGCCTTAAAATACATGTTTGTTTTCATGAATAAAGAACTTTGTTGAACCTTTAAGCAATCTAAAGACTTTGCTTTAAGGAAATTCAAGGGCCTTTAATCTGAGGCAGCCCCGGCATCCCATTGGGCACACAGAATTTATGTCCTGTCTGTAGTCTTATGCACAGGCCCAGTGTGTGACAGCACAATAAAGGTGAACTACAACACCCAGATTTCCAGAGCAATCACCCATAAACCCAAATACCTGGGAGTCACTCTGGACCGTGCTCTTACCTACAAGAAGCACTGCCTGAACATCAAGCAAAAAGTGGGCGCTAGAAACAATATACGGAAGCTGACTGGCACAACCTGGGGATCACAACCAGACACAGTGAAGACATCTGCCCTTGCGCTATGCTACTCTGCTGCTGAGTATGCATGCCCAGTGTGGAACACATCTCACCACACTAAAACAGTGGATGAGACATGCCGCATTTTAATGAGACATGCCGCATTATCTTAATGAGACATGCACATTATCACGGGGTGTCTGCACCCTACACTACTGGAGAAATTACACTGTGTAGCCGGTATTGCACCACCTGACATCCGCCGGGAAGGACCATCTCCAACTCATCCCTTGTTTGGGTATCAGCCAGCACGCCAACGACTTAAATCAAGACATAGTTTTCTTAGATCTACAGAGACACTCGCTGGAACACCCCAGCAAGCGAGAGTCCAAAAGTGGCAGGCCCAAACCCAGCACCTCAATCCATGGGTGATACCAGATGAGAGACCCCCCCCTGGGCACTCAGAAGACTGGGCGACTTGGAAGGCGCTGAACAGACTGCGCTCTGGCACCACGAGATAGAGCCAACCTTAAGAAATGGGGCTACAGGGTGGAATCCTCAGCATGCAAGTGTGGAGAAGAACAAACCACTGACCACCTGCTGCAATGCACCCTGAGCCCTGCCACATGCACAATGGAGGACCTTCTTGCGGCAACCCCAGAGGCACTCCAAGTGGCCAGATACTGGTCAAAGGACATTTAACCAAATACCAAATTTGCAAAATCTCTGTGTGTTTTTTTTCCTTTTTCTTTTTAATCTGTGTGCTTGTTTTGCTCTGTTAGAATTGTAATACAATTCGTGCTGATGACACGATAAATATAAAAGTTTGGTAATGTCTAATGCAGTGGTTCTCAACCTTCCTAATGCCGTGACTCCTTAATACGGTCCCTCATGTTGTGGTGACCCCCCAATTATTTATTATTATTATTATCTTTATTTGTACCCCGCTAGCATCTCCCGAAGGACTCGAGGCAGCTTACAAAAGTTTCCCTTGACTCCACGGTGCTGAACAATTACAGACAGATCTCCAACCTCCCTTTTTTGGGTAAGGTGCTGGAGCGGGTGGTTGCCTCCCAGCTCCAGGGCTTTTTAGATGACATCAGCTACCTAGATCAGTCACAATCTGGTTTCAGGCTTGGTCACGACACTGAGACAGCCTTGGTCACCTTGGTGAATGACCTCCGTAGAGAGCTGGACAGGGGGAGTGTGATTCTGTTGGTCCTCTTGGACATCTCAGCGGCTTTTGATACCATCGATCATGGTATCCTTCTGGACTGACTCTCTGGGATGGGTCTCGGGGGCACGGTTTTGTCGTGGCTCCGATCCTTCCTGGAGGGTTGATCCCAGATGGTGAAGCTGGGAGATGCCTGCTCAGACCCCTGGCCTTTGACCTGTGGGGTCCCGCAAGGCTCTATTCTGTCTCCCATGATTTTTAACATTTACATGAAACCGCTGGGAGAGGTCATCCAGAGTTTTGGAGTTGGCTGCCACCTCTATGCAGATGACACACAACTCTATTACTCATTTCTACCCAATTCCAAGAAGGCCTCTCGGGTGCTGGATGAGTGCCTGGCCACTGTGTCTATCTGGATGAGGAGGAACAAGCTGAAGATCAATCCCGACAAGACAGAGGTCCTCCTGGTCGATCGCAAACCGGATCGGGATATAGGGTGGCAACCTGTGTTGGAAGGGGTTACACTCCCCCTGAAGCCACAGGTCCGCAGTTTGGGAGTCCTCTTGGATTCATTGCTTACGCTGAGGCTCAGGCGTCGGCGGTGTCCAGGAGGGCTTTTGCACAATTATTTATTTATTTATTTATTTGCTTCATTTTTATACCGCATTTTTCAGCCCTTAACAGGCGACTCAATGCGGTTTACAATGCAATTAAAACACAACAATGCAACAACAGGATCGACGACGTCGATCCACAACAATTAACAATCAGACAGGACAAATCAACAAACAACATATATAACGCCTCAGTTGAAATCAGATCCGTTCTCATTGTCGTTGTACCGTTCCTATGTTCCATTTACCGTCTTCCTTGATTAGTTTGCTTAGCCAAACGCTTGTTCGTAAAGCCAGGTCTTGACCATTCTCCGAAACGTCAGCAACGAAGGTGCCTGTCTGATGTCTGCCGGCAAGGCATTCCATAGCCGAGGGGCCACCACTGAGAAGGCCCTGTCTCTCGTCCCCGCCAAGCGCGCCTGTGACGCAGGCAGGATCGAGAGCAGGGCCTCCCCAGACGATCTTAATGTTCTAGTCGGTTCATAGGTGGAGATGCGTTCGGAGAGGTAAGCGGGGCCAGAACCGTTTAGGGCTTTATAGGCTAAAGCCAGCACCTTGAATTGTGCCCGGTAGTGGATTGGCAGCCAGTGGAGCTGGCTCAGCAGAGGAGTGGTATGCTCCCTGAGTGCCGCTCCCGTTAGCAACCTGGCTGCCGAGCGCTGGACCATCTGAAGCTTCCGGGCAGTCTTCAAGGGCAACCCCACGTAGAGCGCGTTGCAGTAATCAATCCGGGATGTAACCAGAGCATGGACTACCGTGGCCAAATCAGACTTCCCAAGGTACGGGCGCAGCTGGCGCACAAGTTTGAGTTGTGCAAATGCTCCCCTGGACACCGCCGAAACTTGGGGTTCCAAGCTTAGCGAAGAGTCCAGGATCACACCCAAGCTGCGAACCTGCGTCTTCAGGGGGAGTGTAACCCCGTCTAACACAGGCTGTAACCCTATACCCTGTTCGGCCTTTCGACTGACCAGGAGTGCCTCTGTCTTATCTGGATTCAATTTCAATTTGTTCGCCCTCATCCAGTCCGATACAGCAGCCAAGCAATTGAGACTCCAGCTGCCCATGTTGGTTCTGTGTGCAAGGTTTGGTCCAGATCCATTGTTGGCTGGGTTCAGTGCTGTCTGGATAAGGATGAACTACAACTCCCAGATCCCCAGAGCGATCATGCCCAAATCCCTGCCAGTATGCACAGTTGGCCATGTTGGGTCTGTATGCCAAGCAGGGGCGGCTCAACCCATTATGCAAAGTAAGCATTTGCAGTATAGTTGATTTTGCCCAGGGGCACTCTTGAGGCACTCTTGGGGGAAAATAGACCTTGACATATGTGAGTTCTAGTTACTGGGATGTATAGTTCACCTACAATCAAAGAGCATTCTGAACTCCACCAATGATGGAATTGAACC